CTGGGTGTGGTAGTGTGCGCCTGTAATCCCAGCTACTTGGGAGGCTGAGGCAGGAGAATGGTTTGAACCTGGGAGGCAGAGGTTGTGGTGAGAAGAGATTGAGATCGCGCCACTGCACTCCAGCCTGGGCAACAAAGTGAGACTTTGTCTCAAAAAAAAAAGAATAAAGAGGAAGACGGGAAGAAGACACATCTCCTTGTTCTGCTACAAATAGAAAGCTATTCTGTTGACCTCCATTCTCGGACAGAACTGTCAGTCTCTGGGCTGGATGTCACGACAGGTCATGGTTCCTTCTGGGTCTGGTAATTCTATAACTGCTAGCTTTCAATGACTCCCACCATTCCATTTCTGTGCTGTGACTTCTAATTTGCAGAAAGCTCAGAAATCATACTTATCAGTCAATGCAAATCCCCAACTAGGGTTGGCTGGGAAGGAGGCTTAGGAGTAACCAGACCTTTGGGTCACACCAAATCAAATCAAACCATAACTGTCTACATAAGACAATATAAATCCTGCGTTAGTTTTTGGCTTCTTAGCAGGCAACGTGACTTAGGCATGGTAGGAGGACAAACCCACAGAGCCCTAATCTGTGTACTTAACGAGCTGTTAAGTACTCTGGCAACTTACCTAACCCTTCTAAACCTCAAACCCCTCTGCTACAAAAGGAGGCTACTACTACAGACCTCACAGGAGTGTGAAGATTAAATAAGACAGGAGAAGAAAACACCAAGGCAAGGTGCCTGGCTGGCCCTAGGAGCCGGCAGCCAGGGGAGCTGCTCAGTGGGGAGTGTAAGGAAAGGTTCCCTCTTGGCTCCTGTCCTGGCTCCCCCAGTAGGCGATCAAGGTCAACCAGCTTGGCAGCTGCACTTGATTTGAGACCCGTATCACCTCTCCCAAATACTGCTCCTGGAATGAAATTTGATAGACAAGATTTATTCAAGGGAAAAGTTTCCCTGATAAGATGTGAATTTCATAATGGTCTTATATTACGAGTCACTACCTCTCTAAGGAAAAACAATTGTTAAGAGTTTAGCCTATGTTGGCAGTTCTAGGCTTCATGTGATTAGGTCACTGACCTCCAAAATTAAAATAATATTGTTAAAAAGCAGCAGGAACTGTGCAGCCATGCCTGAAGAACAGGCAGAGTTTAGGAAGCCGCTCCTCATATCCCAGGCTAGCACTGCTCGAGAACCTTTCCTTACACAGCGAAATGTGAAGACACTTTTAACACTGATGCTAGCCCAGTCTGACTCTGTGTGAGTCAGAGACCTGGTCCCACATTGATTGTACAAGGAACTAGAAATAGATGATATATCCCAGTGGAAGCAAAGGCCTCCAGGGGAGTTGTAAACTGAGCAGTTTATCTTTTTTATTTTCAAAATTCTATCTATCTGTCCATCCATCTATTCATCTGTCCAACCATCCTTATAAGGCAGAATATCTTTGAGGAAGTTTTCTCTATGCATCATCCAAAGTATAACTTGATCATTAAAATAAAGTTATAGGCAAAAGGGCCACAGTATGAGATTAAGAACATTAATAAAATAGAACAATTATAACAATATACTGTAATGAAAGTTATGGGAATCTGATCTCTCAAAATATCTTAATTTTTATTTTTATTTTTTAAGAGAGTCTTACTCTGTTGTGCAGGCTGGAGTGCAGTGGTGTGATCTCG